ATATATATGTACAAGAATATATACACGTACGTACATACCTACGCACATCATATATTATAGATTTTATTATTTATATATATTTATAATTCTAAGTGTATTTTGAGATATATATAGTATATCAAGATACGCTTATGACAAAAAAATTTTAACTTTTTTTAACATATATTTTTTAATATATGTATAATATATTATAAGTTAATTAAAACATCTAACTGGCATATTATACTTATATAATACTATATAATTTAATTCTAAGTGTATTTTGGTATTAATATATAGATTAATACCAAAATACACTTATTAAATTAATATATATGTATAATATGCTAATCAGGTGTTTTAATTAACTTATAATAACGGCATAGTATGGCCTAACGGCGTTAACAGGTTAATGTAATGTTATAGAAGATGCACTCGCTGCTCTGTGTAGGTGAAGAATCTTTGGTTTTATGTCTAAAAAAAATAAAAAAGTATCGCGCACACTCTCTGTCACTTTTTCTATGATATATTCCTACATATGGCGGAATGATGTGCAGAAATAGTTAAACCTTTCCGCCACCCTTAGATTGGCAGCTTTACATGACAGGTAAACAGCCCGTGTGATTTTCATTTTTGTTTAAAGGAACTATATGGGCAGGAACACAAACATGTATTAAATCTAACACAAACATGTTTTTGTTACCCTAGAGTTTTAAAAACACTATCTAGTTCCCCCTTCCCTACCTAAATATAGTAAAATCTTACCTTTATTCCAAGCTGCAGCTTCTGGCTCTGCCCCTGATCTGCCTGCTTGGACTGTCAAGGAGGCAGATCAGGGGCAGAGCCAGCGCAAGCCAAACACAGCCCTGGCCAATCAGCATCTCCTCATAGAGATACATTGAATCAATCTGTCTCTATGAGGAAAAATCAGTGTCTGCATGCAGAGGGTGAGGACACTGAATGTCAGTCACACTGTGCAGCAATGCCCCAGGAAGCACCTCTAGTAGCCATCCGAGGAGTGGCCAGTGGGGGTATCACTAGGCTGTAATGTAAACACTGCATTTTCTCTGAAAAGAAAGCGTTTACTGCAAAAAGCCTGAAGGTAATGATTCTACTCACCAGAACAAATGCAATAAGCTGTATACTGTACAATAAGCTGCAGTTGTTCTGGTGACTATAGTGTCCCTTTATTGAATAGAAACCCTTCAAATTAAGAATGTGTCTTGTTTTCTTTAACTAGTAATATCACTGATTTATCTTATTTTAAAGCGGAATAAAAAAGTGACCAATGTATAAAGGAATGGCACCATTCAAAAACCTATCGCAAATAGTAGAGTAAGACTCATTTTTCTAAATACACAGTTATTTTATCATTAATGATTTATACAGCTGTACAGCAGTGATAATGCTGCAGGGATGCGTTTTATAGCTTTATCATAAATTAATTGACATTGTTGATGTTTAAAGTGTACATTTAAAATAATGTGTGAATTTATTTCTGTGTTTTAAATTATAGAGTGATCATTGGGGGAGGGGCATTCATTTCTCTGTGTTTTCAATACCAGATCAATCCTTTGGTAAGGGGAAAGTAAAAGGTTCAGTGTTCTGAAGTGATCATGGTGCTTGGAGTCTGTATGTTCAGTTTACAATATTTGCTGCTGGAGGTCTAACTCCACCCCCAGCGCCATCCCTAATGCTCTGGGTTGGCTAATGCTAAATCTGTGCATGTTTGGTTTCTGTGATCAGCGCACATAGAATGCTGGCGACAGATGACCCCCCCGTACAGCCCAAGTCCTCCCTTAATTCCATCGTCAAGGACGCCCCTCCCCCTGCAGTGACATCAACAATGGTGAATAAGGCTGAAGGAGAACGTGACTTTGTGTGGGATAGAAACGTGAATTTATGATGTCATATTTAATTTGTCATTCTGGGGTTATTAATTTATTCAGTGTTATAAATTACAGGCTAGAAGATCTGCCACAATCATGACTTATTATAATGTTTTCTGATTATTCTTTTATAGTTCGGTAGAGAATGGCAGACCTCCAGATCCTGCACAGTGGGCCGTTGATGATGTTTTCAATTATTTAAAGTCTGCGGGGTTTGAGGAGCAAGCAGGTGCTTTTAAGGATCAGGTACACATTGCCTCTTATTTGTAAAAAGAAAGTTGATCTTGGGCATCCAGGTGGCAGGGCAGAAAAATGAGTGACTGCATTGTTACTTCCTTAACCTGCTCTCGATTACCCCATTGCCCAGTTTTGCTCTCTTTCTGGCCACTCAGCAGACAGTCCTGGAGTTGCTCATTAAAGTGTGACCCTTCCGTCCTCATACTCTGTGACCTCCTACCGCCTTTTGTTCCAAATGACCACTCACTCCTATCTCTACTTTAGCTGGGTGTACCCTCGCCCTCTATCTCTCTGTAACCGTTCCTTTATTATCTCCTTTAAAAATGATCGTCTCGTCCCACCCCTTACTCACTGGGGCACAAGGCTCGGTTTCTCATTTGCCTTCCTTTACCCTTCCTTAGCTTTACCCTCTTGGTACATCCATGTGACATCATGATTGCAGAATTAATGTGCTTATTGCTGGCTACATTTTTACTCCTCTACGTAAATCACCAAATAAGAGCATACAAGAAATGTCAAATAAAAAATGTTCCAAAGGAATCCCTCCAGGCATTGAATTGCATATTTTTGTTAAACTCGCTCTATTTTAGATGACATATTCCTTCTTTAAAGCAGCTCTGTCAGCATAAACAAATGTTAAGCATTTTGTAAAGATAAACATACTTATAAAAATCTCGTACAGACTGTGTTGGAGTTTCATTGAAATCCCAACACTTTCAGAGATGCCTTATGGTAAATCCCTAAGGTGAGAAAACTCCACAAAGCCACGGCCGTGGCAATAAGGCATCATCCCCCTCTTCGTGTGACAATATCTATGGATCCTCCATAGGTGTCAGAGTTTTAATCCCATGCATGTGCACTGATGCAAAGATCGAAGATGGCTTTGCATGGGACTGACAGTATCAGGTAAGTATAATTCACCATCGCTATATAAAGCACTGACCAATTCTAGCCCCTCTTATATCTTCTCACAGATCCATAGGTATGCCCCTACTCAGTCTCTCCGTTCTGCCCATGACCTTCTCCTGTCTGCTGCTCGCACCCGTATGGCCAACTCGCGCTTGCAGGACTTCTTGCGGGCGACTCCCTCCCTTTGGAATAGCCTGCCTACCACCATCAGACTCTCCCCTAGTCTTCAATCGTTTAAGAAGTGCCTTAAAACCCATTTCTTTAGGAAAGCCTGTGGCCTCTCAGACTAACCTCTACCTCACATACCTGTCTCTTGCTCTCTCCTAAAGGGCAGCACTCTACTCTCTCCTCCAGCTTTGCTTAACTCCCACCTAATTTTAATTGCTATATTCTGTCCTATTGTGTTCTACACCTCACCTCCTATTGACTATAAGCCCGTTTGAGCAGGGTCCTCTTCAACCTATTGATCCTGTAAGTTTTTGTAATGGTCTCATTTATTGTTAAATCTCCCCCTCTCGTTATATTGTAAAGAGCTACTGAATCTGTTGGCGCTATATGAATGTCAATAATAAGAATAATAGCTGCACCCCTGAGCCACAGCACCCCAAGAGCGATTTCCTCATTGGTGGTTTTTGCAAAATATGCAAAGACCTCAGAAGATAACAAAATTGCCATAATTTCCATGTAAAGACAAAAAAATAATTGTGGGTATACCCGCAACATAAATTTTGCAGGAATGGTGCAACAATATGTTTTTTTAATCTTTTAGGCTACTTAAAATTGCCTATCTGACGATTTGTTTTAGGACCCACTTGGGCTTTTTATAATTCCAACTTACTCTACTCCTTTCTTTCTTAGTGTTTGATAAAGCTAGTATTAATAAAAAGACAATATTCAATAAGTAGGATGTCCCTCCTTGTAATTCTTGGTGCTAGGTGACAATGAGTGTTGGTAGGAGGTGGATGGTAAGTGACACTAAGTTGATGTTTGTAGGTGGTGTATGGGTGGTCCCTCCATGTAATTCTTGGTGGTTTACACTGACTGGTCTGTTATTTTCAGGAAATCGATGGGAAGTCCCTCCTTCTTATGACCAGGAATGATGTTTTAACTGGACTTTCTCTAAAACTTGGCCCAGCTCTGAAGATCTATGAGTTTCATGTGAAGCCTTTACAGACACAGAATATGAAGAAAAACTCGTCTTAGAAAAAGGAGAACTTGACCAAAATCATCATCAGCTGTTAGGTGATACTCAAACTGTCAAATTTAAACCAAATATGACCCCTTGTCCTGGGGTGTACTTGATTCGAGATTGTAACATATCTAGAAAAGGCACCAAAAGTTCTGGTTCCTGGTGTTCAAGATGTGCCCCCTGGTGGTGTATGTGGCAATAGACACAATCTATAAAGGAACAGACCTGGAGATTCTTCTGGGATGTCTCCTACAGCTGTCTTAACACATTGTCCTGTACAATACAAAGACCTGTAGCCCCTGAACCATGTATGATCTGAATGCTGGTTTAAAATGAATGATGGCTGGGTGAGGAAAATGCACCTTTATATTTCATGAAAACCTAGATTTTATTCTCAA